AGTCAATTACATTAACTATTTGTACCATCCACGTGTAATTGCTTTCAAAGCTAATCTCTAGTGTATCCTAATACAGTTGTTTTTCCAGTTCAGAAGCATTGAATGTCTTTTGCTTTATGTTGTTCCTTCACTTCCACTTCTTCCCCAATTTTGACATTGTTATTAAATATAGTACTAATGTAACAAAGAGCATATGAAAAATTATAGGCAGTCCCCGGGTTACAAATGCCCAAGTTCCGTACAACCTATATTTATGACCAACCCCCAGTAAAGCTTATTATATTAAAAATTTGAGATATAAGTAATGGTTCATAATAACAAACAGGTACTACTTTGTGCTGCACATCAAAACATTATTATTATTACTGCATTATTATGTTATCGTACCGAACTATTCTGACGTACATGTAAATTAGACTTAAGGACAGACTTAGGAATGGAACTTGTTCGTAATCCAGGGACTACCTATATACAAAAAAGTGACACTTATCTTTGGATTCTTCCTTCAAAGCATGCTACCCCAAAATTTAATAATGTAATCCAGCTATTAATATCTGCTGGCTTAGTGCCTAAGGCACTTGACTGCTAACCAGAAGGCTGGCGGTTCAAACCCACCAGCCACTCCTTGGAAGGAAGATTGGGCAATCTACTTTTGTAGTGATACCGTCTCGGAAACCCGAGGAGGGGTAGCTGTGACTTGAAGATGACTCGACAGCACTTAACAACAATATTAAGTTTAATCCTTGGCTTCTAATTACAGGAGCTATTAAAATACAGCAAAGACTGTGAAGGAACTGAACAATTAAAAGAGGCACTTGACACAGTGCTGGAATTACTGAAGTCAGTTAATGACTCCATGCATCAAATTGCAATAACTGGTTATATCGTGAGTAGATGCTCATACTTGTTGGGATTTGATCCTTTCCTGGAACTAGTTGAGAAATAAGTTGCTGTGAGAGGCAGATGAATAGGACCAAAATGTCAGCATTATTGCTGCTAATGGCAGATGGAGAACTGGGTTAAGATCCATATCCAAATGGATTTGCAACATTCCATTTGTCCCCAATGACTGCCCCTAAGAGACATATATCTGAGGGAATGTTTGGGTCTGTTATGGAGACATACTGTCTCAGAATGGCTGCATGGCCTAGTTCAGGATAGATATGGAAGAAAAGGACCAGATCTTCAGAGTTGGCAGCCTTTGAAAAGAGTAGCTGCACCCACTGGGGAAGGTTGGACTGGTATATGTCATCTACCAATCAGAACTGAGGAAGAGATGGGGAGTGTTACCCCAGCTGAAAGACCTCCACTAGGAGGCAGGAGGCCAGAGACAAGGAATTTCTCCTATCTCCCACCCCCTAGAGCAATTTTGTACATGTGATATATAGTGTATTTTAACCTAAAATGTTATAATGATTAAAGTTTTAAAAACTAATTTGTGCTTCAGGGTTTTAATGGCTCAAGCCCAACACTAAAATGTTGATGTCAAAGATCTGAATGTAGCTCTGCCTTGTACTAATGGGTTTTGATTTCCGTTCTAGGGAAACTTGAATGACTTGGGCAAGATGATAATGCAAGGCCCGTTCAGTGTCTGGACGGGACACCGAAAAGGTGCTACAAAAATGAAGGATTTTGCTAGATTCAAGCCAATGCAGCGACACATTTTCTTGTATGAAAAAGCCATTGTTTTTTGTAAAAGGCGTGTCGAAGGTGGAGAAGGCTCTGAAAGATATCCATCATACAGTTTTAAACACCATCTGAATGTAAGATAATTTGAATTGTATAGTGTAACATTGTTTCATGTATGTTGTGTGTGTGTGTGTGTATAATTTGTAACATCCAGGTTGTATACTTTTCTGTTCAAATGAGCATTTTATACTTTAGCTGCACACCCCATTGTTAAAGCAAAGCATCTCTGCTTGAAATGAGGGAATGAGTGCAGAGCTTTGATTGATCCCTTCCTTCCTCCCTTCTTCCAGCCCCAGGCCAGTCCCTAGGCCTTTCTAATGTCCTGCAGAGCACAATTTTAAATGATAGGCCTTGTCCCTACTCCTACATTAGCATTTTCTTACAAATGGCACTGGGTGGAGTTCTTGGTTTTGGCAGCAAGGAGCATTTATGATGCATGAAAGACAAGGAGGCAATTTTTTTTTCCTTTCCCTCAACTCAGTTTAGTAATGGATAATGTTTGTCCTTAACATATTCCCACCTCCTTCTGTATCCCTTCCTCATTCCCTGGTATCCCCCTTCTTGGGTCTCCAAAGCTACCTGCAGCTGAATCTCTTCTACATCTTCCTCATCCTATCCTTCCAGAGTGCTCAATACTTTGAAATTATTTTCTGTCTTCTGTTACAAAAACTGCCATTCTGTGCTACTATTAGTTGGGTATTACAATGAGAGCAGTATTTTTTAATAAACAAGTCAACAGCAACTCAATGATACTCTCAAAGGGTTTTGCCATTTTACAAGAGACACTTGCTAATTCACATGAGTCTATAATCGGCAGGTTTGATTTTTTATTTTACAGATGATTAACTTTGCCTTTCAAGTTTTAAATTGTAAAAGCAATATAACATCTGTTATACAAAATTTGGAAAACAGAATATTATCACCCTCTGTTCCCCAGGGTATGAAGTATGAATCTAAGGAAAATAGGTCATCAAGAATGGAATTCATGAAGATCAATATTGTAGACATTAGTGAGCTGAAATGAACTGGTACTGGCCATTTTGAATCAGACAGTAATATCCTCTAGTATGCCTAGAGTGACAAAATAGAAGAAGAATGATCTACATAAAGAACATTTCAAGATAATTCCTGAAGTACAATGCTGTCAGTGATACGATAATATTCATATGCCTACAAGGAAGACCAGTTAACACTACTTTTATTCAGATTTATGCACCAACCACTAAAGCCAAAGATGAAGAAATTGAAAATTTTTTTTACCAACTTCTATGACCTGAAATTGACCAAACATACAATTAAGATATATTGATAATTACTGGTGGTTGGAATGCAGAAGTTAGAAACAAGGAGTGTAGTTGAAAAATATGGCTTTGGTGATAGAAATTGCACAATAGAATTTTGGAAGATCAACGATATTCATTGCAAATATCTTTTATCAACAACATAAATGGTAACTATACATGTGGACCTCACCAAATTAAATACGCAGAAATCAAGTTGTCTCCATCTGGGGAAAGAGATGATGGAGAAGCTCAATATCATTAGAACAAGGCCAGAGGCTGGCTGCATAACAGACCATCAGTTGCTCATATTGCAAGTTGAAAGTGAAGCTAGAGAACATTAAGACAAGTCTACAAGAGCCAAAATATAGCCTTGAGTATATCCCATCTTAATTTAGACATCATCTTAATAATAATAGATTTGATGCATTGAACACTAATGACAGAAGACCAGATGAGTCGTGGGATAACATCAAGGACATCATATGTGAAGAAAGCAAAAGGTCATTAAAAAAGAAAGAAAAGACCAAAATGAATGTCAAAAGAGACTCTGAAACTTGCTCTTGAATGGAGAGTAGCTAAAGCTAATGGAAGAAATGATGAAGTAAAAGAGCTGAACAGATTTCAAAGGGTGGCTCAAGAAGACAAAGTATTACAACAAAATGTGTAAAGACCTGGAGTTAGAATATACTTGGCATTTCTCAAGAAAAGAACATGCTTGGCATTTCTCAAGCTGAGAAACTGAAGAAAAAATTCAAACCTCAAGTTGAAATAGTGAAGGATTCTGTGGGTATTATATTAAAGGACATAAGAAACATCAAAAGAAGATGAAAGGAATACACAGTAACTGTACCAAAAGGAATTGTTCAACATTGAACCATTTCAAGAGGTAGCATATGACCAGGAACTGAGAGTGTTGAAAAAAGAAGTCCAAGCTACACTTGAAGGCATTGATGAAAAATAAAGACTCCAGGAACTGATGGAATACTAATGAAATGTTCCAACAAATGGATGTGGTACTGTTAGCACTCACTCATCTATGTCAAGAAATTTGGCTATCTGGCCAACCAACTGGAAGAGATCCACATTTGTGCCCATTCCAAAGAAAGGTGATCCCACAGAATGTGGAAGGTATCGAACAATATCATTAACATAACATGCAAAGAAAACTTTGCTGAAGATAATTCAAAAATGGTTGCAGCAGTTTTTGAACTGTGTTCTGAACCTTGCAATGAACTACCTGTAATTCAAGCTGATTCAGAAGAGGATGTGAAATGAGGGATATCATTGCTGATATCAGATGGATCTTGGCTGAAAGCAAAGAGTACTCAAAAAGTGTTTACCTGTGTTTTATTGACTATGTGAAGGTATTCAGCTGTGTGGATTATAACAGATTATGGATAACTGCCAAGAGTGGAATTCCAGAACACTTACTTGTGCTACGCAGAACATGTACATAGACCAAGAAGCAGTTGTTCAACCAGAACAAGAGGACATTGCATGGTATTGGAAGAAGACTCATGAACAACCTGCGATATGCAGATGACACTACCTTGTTTGCTGAGAACAAAGAGGACTTGAAGCACTTAGAGAAGAAGATCAAAGACTACCGCCTTCAGTATCGATTACACTTCCACATAAAAAGAAGTCAAGGATTTCGTTTTACCTGGATCCACAATCAACACCCATGGAAGCAGCAGTCAAGACATCAAACAATGTAACTGCACTGGGCAAATCTGCTGCAAAAGACTTCTTTAAAGTTTTAAAGAGCAAAAATTTCAATTTGAAGACTTAAGTGTACCTGACCCAAGCCATGGTATTTTCAATCACTTCATATGCATATGAAAGCTGAACAATGAATTGTTGTTGTTATGTGCCATCAAGTCGGACCTGACCCATAGTGACCCCTCCTTGGGTTTCCGAGGCAGTAATCACTACAGAAGTAGATTGCCCATCCTTCCTTCCAAGGAGTGGCTGGTGGGTTTGAACTACCAGCCTTCTGGTTAGCAGTCAAGTGCTTTAGGCACTGTGCTACCAGAATAAGGGAGAGCAAAGAGGAGCTGATGCCTTTATTATGGTGTTGGCAAAGAATATTGACTATACCAAGAACTGTCAGAAGAATGAACAAATCTGTCATGGAGGAAGTGTAGCCAGAATGCTCTTAGAATGGAGGATGGCAAAACTTCATCTCATGTACTTTGGACTCTGTTCTGGTTCCCTAGTGCCGCTCTGACAAGAATATACCACAAATGGGATGGCCTTAACAAAAAGGAGTTTATTCTCTTACAGTTTGGAGGCTTTAAGTCCTAGTTCAAAGTGCCAGGCTCTAGGGGCTGGGTGAAAGCCCCTCAACCTTGGGCTTCAGCTCTGCCTCCTGCTCCTGGCCGCCCACTGGAGCTAGAAGCTTTTCTTCCCTCAGACAGCTGCTGGCTGCTGAGACTGACAAGCCCAAGGTTGACAAGTAAAAAGGCACAGTCCTGATGTGACCAAACCACACAGCAAGCCATTAACTCAAGTCCATTGAAAGTCCCAAGGTCAGCAGAACATGGCAGACTTAAACAATGACACGGCTACATGCAGGGTTCAAGCATGCCATAAGCTAGAGAACATTCCCAAAGCTGTTTCTTATATACAGGATAAAAGACCACATACTCAAAGCAGCTACTCAGCTGCTCCAATAGATTCCACCATGGAGTTACTTACTAATCTCACCATGGGTAATAACTACATCTGCCTGCCCAGCCACTCAACCAGGCCCAGCCTGGTTGACACACAAACTTAACCACCGCAGACTTGTTATCAGGAGGGACCAGTATCTGAAGGACATCATGCTTGGTAGAGTTTGAGGGTCGATGAAGAAGAGGAAGACCCTCAATGAAATGGACTGCCACAGTGGCTACAACACTTGCCACACTTGTGAGTATGACACAGGACCAGGCAGTGTTTGTTCTGCTGTACCTAGGGTTGTTATGAGTCAGTACTGACTTCACAACACCTAACGGCAACAGCATTCCTCAACCATTATCATTTTAGTCATGTTCATTCATAATTGTCATCACTAGTATATTTGACAATTGGTGAAATTTTCAGCAGCAGTAATAAAGAGGAAGGACTCCCTGAGTGGAACAAACAGTTAAGGTGCTCATCTGCTATTGGAGAGGTTGGAAGTTGGAGTCCGCCCAGAAGTGCCTCAGAAGAAAGGCCTGGCAATCTACTTCTGAAAAATCAGCTCTTCTAAATCCTACAGATGACTGTGGCCCCGAGCTGCCCTTCAGGTCTGGAATTGAACCCACTCCCGTGGCTTCCAGCCAAACAAAAGTCAGGCTTATGAGGTGAACATTTACACTAGGTAGATCAGTCATGGGAGAATAGAAGGGCCATGTATGCACAGGGAGACAGCTCGGGGGGCAGGATGCATCAGGGAATGACCCAGGGAAGAGGTAACTATGGGGAGGAAGTAGGAGGGCAGCTGTTGCATTGTGGAAAATTGCAGTCAATGTCATGAGACAAAGGTGTGTGAGCTGCTGCATGGAAAGTGAATTTGCTCTGTAAACTTTCACCCAAATCAAAATTAAAAAAAAAAAATCCTACAGAACACAGTTCTGCTCTGACCCACCTTGGGTCGCCATGAGTTAGAATCAACTGCATAGCAACTGCTTTTAAAACAGAGGACAAGATCATTTATCCTGACATAGGCCTGTGGTATTTATGTTAAGAGGGTACCAGATCCACGGGTCCTGCTTAGAAATCTCCCCGTGGATTTAGCCAACCCCAAGTTGTTCCCAACTGAGTTCCTGCCCCCGGGCCAGGAACCCTCCTCCCTTCTGCTTTACCCCAGCAGCTTTTCTAAAACTGTTTTTTATAACAAATGCCCATTTGCTCCTTTGATACTAGCCATCCACCTTCAAGCCCAGAAATCTCCAGGAATCTCTTATGCCTCTAGTAAAGACTGGGTGAGAACCTGGAATTTGTAATCTAACTCCGAAAGTGTTTGAGTCTCTTGCTCTCTTTATGCCTGTTCCTTTGGAAGGTACCTTACCTTTCTTTGTAGAACACAGGCATGTTTAACTCAAATCTGTTTGATTCACATTTTGTTTGTGGGGTTGCTATAGTCAACAGCTAATGTATGTGGTATTTTGGGTCGGTATTGACTTTTCATTTGTCTTTAATTTGTCACAGTGATGGGCACACCAAGAAAATATTGCTAGAGTACATTAGAATAAAGAGGGACTGGTATGAAGAATATCATGAGAATTCAAACTACAGTGGTTACCATGGAAACAGAGAGGGTGGGCTAGATGTGAGAAACATTTCAATAGAAAGTAGTTGGGCTTGGTGACTTGCTAGATACAGGCAATAAATAATATATGATATTTGAAAGAAAATCACCAATCTGATTCTTCTTGGGTTCCACGATATTGCCCAGTATCCTTAAAATGGGAAAGGAAAAGATTAGTCAGTGATGGCTGCAAGGTTTTAGACCAGGATTACTGGGAAAATGATGCCACTGACTAAGACAGATGGAAATTAGGGAATTTCTTTGGCCCCATTATGCTTATGTCCTCTTGCTTACCTGACATGAGATTCTAGTATTAAACAATTGCTATTCAAAGCATTCCTTCACAATTTGAGCTATTGACTTCAAAGACTTCGCCTTACTAAGAGATGCTCGTTACTGGTGGAGCAAGTTCTCTTTCAAAATGCACTGTTGTCTTGACCCCATCATAAAAAAAAAGCAACTCATTGTCATTGAGTCGATTCTAATTCATAGAGACTTCCATTGGTTTCCAAGGAGGTAAATCTTTACAGAAGTAGATGGCCCTATCTTCCTTCTACTATCTTCCTTCCATGGAGCAGCTGATGGGTTTGAACCACGAACCTTCTGGTTAGCAGTCAAATGGCTTAGGCGCTGTACCATCAGAGCTCCTTGAAGCCATCATGCCAAGGTGGAATCCTATGGCCTGATGATATATTTTCTGATGAATATGTGCTATGTTTCTATGTTCAAAACTGGCAAAAGAAAGGCCCTATAGTCATGGTTAATCAGATGGAGAGATTGGAATTCTTCAAATTCCTTACTTCATGTATTATCATCTATTTATTTTAAACAAACATGCAGATGGTGCTATATGCCAGTAAGTGTTCTAAGTGTTTACAAATACCAATATTAACTCAGTCATCAAGGTATGGAGTAGGCATTATTATGCCCATTTTAAAGATGGAAAAATGAGGCACAGAGAGGTGAGCAACTCACCCATCGTCACACTGCTAGTAAGTGGTGGAATACACTTCTATAGAGAGAAAAATTTGGAAGCGGTTCAAACCCACCAGCCACTCCTCGGAAGGAAGGTTGGGCAATCCTACTTCCGTAGTGATACTGCCTCGGA